AGGTTAGCTACCGACTTCTCAATGGAAACACTTCAAGCAAGAAGAGAATGGCAAGAAATATTTCAAGTAATGAGAACCAGAGGCCTACAACCAAGGCTACTTTACCCAGCAAGGCTCTCAATCAAGATAGAAGGCCAAATAAAGAGCTTCCAAGACAAAAGAAGTCTAAAAGAATATGCCTCCACCAAACCAGCTCTACAAGAAATACTAAAAGGACTGCTTTGAGGGAAGGAAGGATAAGAGGGAGACAGAGAGGAACACAGGTACAAAAATGGCAATGAATAAGTACCTATCAATAATAACCTTAAACGTAAATGGATTAAATGCTCCAATCAAAAGACACAGAATAGCTCAATGGATAAGAAAGCATGACCCACACATATGCTGCCTACAAGAGACTCACCTCAGGACAAAAGACCATCACAGACTAAAAGTGAAAGGCTGGAAACAAGTTTTCCAAGCAAACGGACAAGAAAAAAAAGCTGGGGTAGCAATTCTCATATCAGACAAAATAGACTTCAAAAAAAAGGCTGTAAAGAGAGACCCAGAAGGTCATTTCATTATACTCAAGGGAAGAATCCACCAAGAAGACATTAACATTGTAAACATATATGCACCAAACATAGGGGCACCCAAATATATCAAGAAAATCTTAGAGGACTTCAAGAAAGATATTGACAGCAACACAATCATAGTAGGGGATTTGAACACCCCACTATCAAAAATGGACAGATCTTCCAAACAAATTATCAAAAAAGACATTGTGGCATTAAACAACACCCTAGATGAAATGGACTTAACTGATATATATAGAGCCCTTCATCCCAAAGAAGCTAAATATACATTCTTTTCAAATGTACATGGAACATTCTCAAAGATAGACCACATGATAGGACACAAAAGGAGCCTCAACAAATTCAAGAAAATTGAAATCATACCAAGCATCTTCTCTGACCACAAGGCACTGAAATTAGAAACCAACCCCAAAGAAAAAAACCCAAAGCACCCAAAAACATGGAGACTGAATGGTATGCTATTAAACAATGAATGGGTCAAGAATGAAATTAGGGAAGAAATCAAAACATTTCTGGAAACAAATGAAAATGATCGCACAACAACCCAAAACTTATGGGACACAGTGAAGGCAGTCCTGAGAGGGAAGTTTATAGCAATACAGGCCTACCTAAAGAAGATAGAAACATTTCAAACAAACAACCTAACCATACGCCTGCAAGAACTTGAGGAACAACAACAAAGACAGCCCAGAGCAAGCAGAAGGAAGGAAATAACCAAGATTAGAGCAGAATTAAATGACATAGAAACTAAAAGCACAATTTTAAGGATCAATGAATCCAGGAGTTGGTTCTTTGAGAAGATAAACAAAATAGACAAGCCTTTAAGTAGGCTCATCAAGAAAAGAAGAGAGAGGACACAAATAAACACAATCAGAAATGAAAAAGGAGAGATTACAACTGATACCACAGAAATAGAAGAGATTGTAAGAAATTACTATGAAGAACTGTATGCCAAGAAATTTGAAAACCTAGGGGAAATGGACACATTTCTAGAAAAATACAATCTCCCAAAACTCAGTGAAAAAGAAGCAGAAAATCTAAATTCACCAATAACAGCAAAAGAAATTGAAGCAGTAATCAAAAAACTCCCATCACACAAAAGCCCCGGACCAGATGGTTTCACAGGAGAATTCTACAAAGCATTTAAGGAAGAGCTAACCCCTATTCTCCACAGACTATTTCAAAAAATTCAGAAGAATGGAAAACTCCCAAATTCTTTTTATGAAGCCAGCATCATCTTAATTCCAAAACCAGATAGAGACACAACAAAGAAAGAAAACTTCAGGCCAATATCGCTGATGAACATAGATGCTAAAATCCTCAACAAAATATTGGCAAATCGCATCCAACAACATATCAAAAAGATCATACACCATGATCAAGTAGGATTCATCCCAGGAATGCAAGGATGGTTCAATATTCGCAAATCAGTAAATGTAATACATCATATAAACAAAAGCAAAGACAAAAATCACATGATCATATCAATAGATGCAGAAAAAGCTTTCGATAAGGTACAACACCCATTTATGATAAAAACACTCAGCAAAGTGGGAATACAAGGAGCATTTCTCAAAATAATAAAGGCCATATATGAGAGACCTACAGCCAATATCATACTCAACGGGAAAAAACTAAAAGCTTTTCCACTAAGATCAGGAACAAGACAAGGTTGTCCACTTTCACCACTTCTATTCAATATAGTATTGGAAGTTTTAGCCACAGCGATCAGGCAAGAAAAGGAAATAAAAGGCATCCAAATAGGAAAGGAGGAAACAAAACTGTCACTGTTTGCAGATGACATGATAGTGTACATGGAAAATCCTATAGACTCTACCCAAAAACTCCTCAAACTAATTGATGAGTTTGGCAAAACAGCTGGTTATAAAGTCAATATCCAGAAATCAAAGGCATTTTTGTATACCAACAGTGAATCAGCAGAAGCAGAAATAAAGAGAAAAATCCCATTTGATATAGCAAAAAGAAAAATAAAATATCTGGGAATAAACCTAACCAAGGAGGTAAAAAACCTGTATGCAGAAAACTACACAGCCCTGAAGAACGAAATCAAGGAAGACACAAACAAATGGAAACATATACCTTGTTCATGGATTGGAAGAATTAACATTATCAAAATGTCCATACTACCCAAAGCAATATACAGATTCAATGCAATACCTATTAAAGTACCAATGGCATATTTCACAGACATAGAACAAACACTTCGAAAATTTATATGGAACCATAAACGAGCTCGAATAGCAGCTGCTCTTTTGAGAAAGAAGAACAAAGTAGGGGGGATCACAATACCTGATATCAAACTGTATTACAAGGCCACTGTAATCAAAACAGCCTGGTACTGGCATAAAAACAGGCACATAGACCAATGGAACAGAACAGAGAGCCCAGAAATCAACCCAACTCTCTACAGTCAATTAATATTCGACAAAGGGGGCAGTAACATAAAATGGAGTAAAGATAGCCTCTTCAACAAATGGTGTTGGGAGAACTGGACAGCTACATGCAAAAAAATGAAACTTGAGCACAGACTTACACCATACACCAAAATAAATTCAAGGTGGATAAAAGACTTAAATGTAAGTCATAACACCATTAAAGTCCTAGAGGAGAACATTGGCAAGAAAATCTCAGATATTTCACGCAGCAACTTCTTTACTGATATGTCCCCTAGAGCAAGGAATGTAAAGGAAAGAATAAACAAATGGGATCTCATCAAAATAAAAAGCTTCTGCATGGCTAAAGAAAACAGTATTAAATTAGCAAGACAACCAACTGTATGGGAAAACATATTTGCCAATGATACCTCAGACAAAGGTTTAATCTCTAAAATATACAAAGAACTTACACGACTCCACTCTAAGAAGACACCCAACCCAATTAGAAAATGGGAAAAGGACTTGAACAAACACTTCTCCAAGGAGGACATACAGAACATTCAGAGACACATGAAGAGATGCTCAATATCGTTAGCTATCAGAGAGATGCAAATTAAAACCACAATGAGATACCACTTTACACCAGTCAGGATGGCTATCATAAACAAAGCAACAAACAACAAATGTTGGAGGGGTGTGGGGAAACGGGGTAAGGTAGTTCACTGTTGGTGGGAGTGCAGACTGGTACAACCATTATGGAAAACAGTATGGATTTTTCTCAGAAAAATAAAAATCGACCTGCCTTTTGACCCAGCAATTCCACTGCTAGGATTATATCCTAAGAATCCTAAAACATCAATATCAAAGAACCTATGCACCACAATGTTCATAGCAGCACAATTTACAATAGCCAAGAGTTGGAAGCAACCTAGGTGCCCATCAGTAAATGAATGGATCCAAAAATTGTGGTACATATACACAATGGAATTCTATGCTGCAGAGAGAAAGAAGGAGCTACTACCCTTTGCAACAACATGGATGGAACTGGAAAGCATTATGCTGAGTGAAATAGGCCAGGTGCTGAAAGACAAATACCATATGATCTCACCTTTAACAGGAAGCTAAACAACAAAACAAACAAGTAAGCAGAAAAAAAAACCCCAAAAACAAAGACACTGAAATAGAGAACAAGGGGATAGTGACAAGAGGGGAGAAGGAAGGGAAGTTAAGGGGAAAAAGGGGGAGGGATTTGGAAGAACAAATAGGAAGGACACAGGGACGAGAACTAAGGGGGGGGGAGGAAATGGGAGGGAGGTGGGGAGCAAGGGGCAGGGGAGGCTGGGATGGGAAAAATAGACAAAAAACTGTACTTGAAAAATAACTAAATAAATTTAAAAAAAAAAAAAAAACATAACAAAAGATACCTTCTTTTCACTCCACTAAATTACGAGGAGGTACACAACTTAAAAGTACCTTTCTGATTGAAGCCAGTTCATTAAAATTGGCTCATTCTCCTTAGATGCTAATATTTAGTAGTGACTAAAGGAATAATATTCCCATTTTAAATGAAAGGCTATAGGCATGCCAATGCATATTAAGTGCCTAATAACCAACTGGAATTTAAGAAAGCACAAATGTGTAGCTTTGAAACTCCACGAGAATTCAGTAGTCTCATATCCTAAAATTTAATCTTGTCAATCTCTAAATAAAGTCACAAAAATTCTTTGATGTCATCTTTAACTCAGCACGACTATCTCTCTTTAAAGCTTTGGTTTTCCTTTGGTTTTTACCAAAATATCAACATATTTCCTAAAATGATGCACATAGGTTAAAAAATATTTGGAAAATAACAAGTCAATTCCATTTCTATTTTGAATAAAATTGTCCCAGGGGGGTTAAAAATTGGGAATCACTTTTCTAAAAGAGATTATGCTTTTTAAACAGAACCCGAGAAGAGAAAAATCTTGTCAAGATTTAGTTCCAAAAAATCTGTCAAACAGGAGAGAAGAAAAGTGATACCTGTACTTACTGTCGTTGGATCCCATGCCAATGAGCTCATCAGAATCAACATTGTGAACTATGGCTGCTTTGTATCCTGCTCTCTGTGCATTCAAAACCTGCGCGACAGAAAACAGTCATGGTATGAGGAAGAAAGTGCTTTGGTCACCCAGTCCCTCAGCTTCAACAAACAAAAATCAACAGTCTGTGCCATATATCTAGGACTTCTTGGATATCTTGTATACATAAGAATAAATCTCTTGTGTTCTTAAAACATAAATGGATGTTTTACAATTGATTATCAAGGACTTCTTTAGATATCTTCTTGATTTCATTCCTGGCATTAAGTGAAATGAGAAGCAAACAAAGGAATAGGGACAGAAGCTCAAGTACTAAAAAGATCCAAATCAATAAACCTGTCTAGCCCTAATAAGGTGGAGACTTGCAGTTACCAAGCTTCAGTCATCAGTCCTTGGGAATTCAATCTACTTCTAGTATTTATTAGTGTGATAAACTTGAGCAGATTATTTTTCTGCCTTATTTCTGTTACCACAATTTTAAAATGAGAATAACAATATTTTTCTCATGTAAACAGTATTAAAATGATTAATACTATGCATAACACATATAACCGAGTCAAATACAAGCTATTTTTATTAGCTTCATCATCAACCATGCTCTTAAAAATTCATTTCTAAAGTTTTGAAAATATTAAAAATACCTCCAGCCTGAAGTTGCTTATTTGGTTCTATCTATTTCATCATTCCTGAAACTAGACTCCAAAATACTAACTTTTACATCTTAAGAACATGACTATATATGTGACAAAATTTTACCTGTAGTATCTAAAAGGTATCCAAACAGGTTACCATACCTCACTTTAAAAATAAAAATATTTTAAATAAAAATAAACCCAGACCTAAGCTATCCAGTCATATAACCTTTGGACCACTGGTGGAAAAGGAAGGATTAGATCATTATTTGCATATTGATTAAATTTTTTTAAAAATTGGGTAGGCTATATCTATATAATGTACATATTATATACACATATATAGTTTAGAATACTGTGAAAACTATATACATATATACAGTTTTGAATACTTCGTTATGATAAAACACTCTTGAAATGCATCACCTATTATCATTGCATAGTGTTAAATTTCTCAAAGTATTTCTTCTTTTATTGTTTTTAAGATTTTATTTATTTATTTTTAGAGAGAGGGGAAGGGAGGGAGAAAGAGAGGGAGAGAAACATCAGCGTGTGGTTGCCTCTCACATGCCTCCTACTGCGGACCTGGCCTGCAACCCAGGCATGTATTCTGACTGGGAACTGAACCAGCGACCCTTTGGTTTGCATGTCCGCACTCAATCTAATCAGCCACACCAGCCAGGGATCTCAAAGTGTTTCTTTATAATACTTATACTTCTAAAGAATAGGGAAATTATTATTTTTTAATTTCCAGAAGGTCTAATATTCTGTTTTAGTTACCGGTACTGTAATGATTCACAACTCTACTGTAATTCAACAAAAATAAAATCTGAATCAAGTTCCAAAGGCTAAGGGAAAGCTCAAAGAACTGAGTTTGCAAGAGTCAAAAGAATAACCACGTATTCAGACCAAATGAATTTGAGTGTTAGGTAAAAGGATGAAGCTCATGGATTCAACCCCAAATCGACAAGTTAGCTTTGCACAGAGTAAATTTCTCTTCTATATTACCCTTGAATTCTCTAAAACAACCTTGCAATGCAAGTTGGGTCTGTAAAAGAGACAATAATGTGAATTAATCAGAATAATTTCATCCTATCATTGAAAAAATTGAGTTATCAGAGATAAGAGTGCCTCAAAGAACTAATATTTTGTTCATTTTTACAGCCTCTATAGCATCTATGAAATAGTCAGATACAGAGTAGGGATGCATTAAATATTCCTTGAATGAGTAAGTGAATAAAATATGTGTTTAAATTAGTAGCTCATTTATATTATAAATAGAGAAAATTAGAGATTTTTTAAAACCTGATTAAAATAACATAAATACCGGACCAACACAGTACTTATGCTCTAATGTCAGGAATAATGACAAGGAAATCAACCACTCAACAAAACTGTTACAAGGAATGTTTTGCAGTCGTGCAAGAAAAGGTCAATAATCAAGATGTTAAGTTCACTATTTCCTGTCATTGTGTACATGTTGTATTTTTAGGTGAATTTTCTTATTCAAATAAAATTGAGGAAATGTCAGCCCCACGATTTCTTCCCCAAAGATATTACCATTTTTCAAGGGATGGGGAAAAAAACTCTTAAAAAGAATATGATTTCTAAACCTTATTTCTTTTTTATGGTTATCTTTTAATTAAAATGATCCTTAAAATACTAAAATCTTTTTTAATGTGTTTATTATTTAAAAATTTTTTAAAATATATTTTAATGATTATGCTATTAGTTTGCCATTCCCCCCTTTATTCTCCTCTGCCCTGCACACCCCCTCACCCACATTTACCCCCCCCCCACTTAGTTCATGTCCATGGGTCATACATATAAGTTCTTTGGCTTCTCCATTTGCTATACTATTCTTAACCTCCCCTGGCTATTTTCTACCTACATTTATGCTACTTATTCTCTGTACCTTTTCCCCTTCTGTTCCCCTCCACTTCCCCACTGATAACCATCCACGTGATCTCCAATTCTGTGATTCTGTTCCTATTCTAGTTGTTTGCTTAGTCCTTTTTTTTTAGGTTTGGTTGTTAATAGCTGTGAGTTTGTCATCATTTTACTGTTTATAGTTTTGATCTTCATTTTCTTAGATAAGTCCCTTTAACATTTCATATAAGGGCTTGGTGATGATGAACTCCTTTAACTTGACCTTATCTGGGAAGCACTTTATCTGGCCTTCCAAATGATAGCTTGGCTGGATAGAGTAATCTTTGATGAAGGTCCTTGACTTTCATGACATTAAATACTTCTTTCCAGCCCCTTATTGCCTGCAAGGTTTATTTTGAGAAATCAGCTGATAGTCTAATGAGAACTCCTTTGTAAGTAATTGTCTCCTTTTCCCTTGCTGCTTTTAAGATTCTCTCCTTATCTTTAATCTTGGCTAATGTAATTATGATGTGCCTGGGTGTGTGTTCCTTGGGTCCAACTTCTTTGGGACTCTCAGAGCATCCTGGACTCCCTAGATGTCTATTTCCTTTGACAGATTGGGGAAGTTCCCTTCATTATTTGTTCAAATAAGTTTTTGATATCTTGCTCTTCCTCTTCTCATTCTGGCAACCCTATGATTCAGATGTTAGAATGTTTAAAGATGTCCTGGAGGTTGTTCCTAAGCCTCTCCTCATTTTTTGAATTGTTTCTTCATTCTGTTCTAGTTAAATGTTTCTTTCTTCCTCCTGCTCCAAACTGTTGATTTGAGCCCTCGTTTCCTTCCCATCACTGTTGGTTCCCTGTAGATTTTTCTTTATTTCACATAATGCAACCTTCATTGCTGCCTGGGTCTTTTTTATGCTGTTGAAGTACCCAGTGAGTTCCTGGAACATCCTGATAACCAGTGTTTTGAACTGTACATCTGATAGGCTGGCTTCAAAGCTCCAGATATATTTTTTTCTGGAGCCTTGAACTATTCTTTCATTTGGGCTATTTTTTTTTGTCTTGGTGCACCTGTTACATAGTAAGGGGTGGAGCTTTAGGTGTTTACCAGGGCAGGGCTGAACGTGGGGGAGGGGTCCGAGAGGGGACAGTGCCACTTGCTCCATTCTCTGCCTGTTTTCAGTTACTTCCCCTGCTTCCCACAATCCAATTGGGCCCTTCTGGTACTGATTCCTGGGTGAGTGGGTTTGTATACATTCTAGGATACTGTGGGTCTTTTCAACAAACTCTCCTGTGAGGCTGGGAGTTTCTCCTGCCAGTGCCTCAACCCCCACAGGTGTTTTCAGTCAGAGGTTTTGAGGCTTTATTTCCCCGAGCTGGAGCCCTCAGTTTCACGGTCTGCCTCACTCCCCAGTTGTTCCTCCTGGTTTATCTGCAAGTGAATGTGGGACCGCCCATTCTGCAAGCCATCACCTTGCCTGGTGTGCCAGCTGCTGCCTTGCCATATGTCCTTACCACCCAGCTGCCTGGCTCCGCCCTTCCTGCTGGTCTGGATGAATGTTTCTTCTTTAACTCCTTGGTTGTCAGGCCTCCATAAGTTCGATTTTCTGTCAGTTCTGATTGTTTTTTATTTTTAAATTTGCTATCACCCTTTTGGTTGTGAGGACGCACAGTGTCTACCTACTCCTCCATCTTAGCTGGAAGTCTGAACCTTATTTCTTACTTATATATGTATCTATTACTTATTCATTAAACTACCATAAAAGTACAGATTTCACTTAGCTGTTATTTAAACAAAAGTATATTTGGTTGGGGTTGCTATTAGTTTACCTGCTGCTTTAATGACTTAAATTTTAACTTCCCAAAAAGCTAACTAAGTAACTTAGGAGAAATGTTTTCTTTGTAAATCTAAAAAACATTTGTTCCAGAGATCCAGGTAGTAACATAAATACAATTTAAGAAATATAAAATTTATATAAAAGCTGCTCTCTACTGATCTAAAAGAAGTCTATGTTTCTTTTTAAAGCCAACTAATGCATGTAAGTCATTGAGATCACATGATTTAACTTGTTTTCCTGCAAAATACATATTTGTGAACAGACACAACACATTAGCACACAGAGAAAGGTGCTCTCAGAAGGATGATACAGAACAAAAAATGTAGTTCAGTAAGTATTCATTAAGTTTACAGAACACGTAAGGTATTGTGTGTTGAGCACAGTGTACAACTCAAAGGTGAATCAGAAACAATCATTATTCTTAAAAAGATCTCAATATTCATGGACATCTAAACAGGTCAGGTACCTTCTTGCCTTTCTATTTGCTCAGGCTGTTTTCTCTGCTTGGAGCAGGCTTCTTTTCTGTATGCCTATCAGGCCTTCAAATTCCATTATCTCCATGCAGCCCCTTCCCCCTCCCCCCATTCCATGCCCTGTTCCACACGCTGTCCCCAAGCACTCACAAAACTGCACATTGCTTGGAGTATTTATATCAGTGTATTTATATTTTTCTTAAAAATTTATATAGTACCTTAAA